TTGAAAACCTAGAAGAAATAGGCAAATTTCTAGAAATACACAACCTACCTAAACTAATAAAGGCTGCTAATGTAGAACACTTGAACAGACCTATAACAAGAGAAGAAATTGGTCAAGTCATTAAAAACTCCAACTGAAAAAAAGTTCAGGATCAGGTGGTTTTACTGGTGAATTCTGTCAAATATTCAGAGAAGAGCTGACACCAATTCTACTCAAACTATCCCAGAACATAAAAAAGTATAGAAGACTCCAGAATTCATTTTATGAAGCAAGCATACTCTGATACCCAAACCAGGCAAAGGCATCACTAAGAAAGAAAATTATTATAGACCTATATCCCTCACGAACACAGTGTAAAAATTCTCAAACAAAATCCTAGCAAATAGAATCGAACAATATATAAAAAAATAATACAATATGACCAAGTAGGATTCATAATAGGGATGCATGTATGGTTCAATATTAGAAAAGCAACGTAATCCAACACATAAATTAAACAAAGGTGTGTGATGGTGGTAGAGGGATCATATGATCATATCAATTGATGCAGAAAAGACATCTGACAAAATCTAACACTCATTTTGAATAAAGACACTCAACAAAATAGGCAAAAAAGGGAAATTCCTTAATCATGCCTAATGTAATTAAAGGCACATATACAAAACCAACAGCCAACATCATTCTCAACAGTGAGAAACTGAAGTCATTCCCCTTTTGAGCAGTAACCAGACTAGGATGCCCTTTATCACCATCACTCCTAATTCAATATTGGACTCCTGGTGTGGCGCTGTAGGATCAGTACTGGAATGCGAACAAAATAGTCAGCAGTTCAAACCCACCAGCTGCTCCTTGGAAACTTTATACAGGGTTGTTATAAGTTGGAACCGACTTGATGGGACTTCATAACAACAACCTTCAATATTGTGGTGGAAGTCTTTGCCAGAGTTATAAGGCAAGAAAGGGAAATTAAAGGCATTCAAACTGGCAAAGAAGTAAAACTCTATTTGCAGACATTTCTATACTTGGAAATTCCCAAAGACTCTACAAGAAAATTATTGGAACTCATTGATAGATTAAACAATGTGGGAGACTACAAGATCAACATAAAAACAACAGTTGGATTCCTTCACACTAACAAAGTGGTGGTGGCTGTGGTGTGTCATGGAGTAGATTTTGACTAATAGCGACCATGCATAGGGTTTCTGAGGCTATAAATCTTTATGGGAGCAGAAAGCTTCATCTTTCTCCCATGGCATGGCTCATAGTTTTGAACTGCTGACCTTGAAGTTAGCATCCTGACTCGTAACTACTACGTTACCAGAGCTCCTTTCACATTAATAAACAGAACTCTGAAAAGGAAACCAGGAAAACAATACCACTTAAAAAAACAGGCCTCATGCAAAGCTTTACAGAGTATAGGACCTTAGGTGGAATCCTGAGTCCCATCCACAACCTTATGATGTGAGACATTCCCACTGGAAAGGACAAATAGACTGGAACAGCTACAGTGACAGAAGATACATCTTCATGATGAACCTGACCTATACTCAGAGTGGTTGTTGTTGTGAAGTGCTATCGAGTCGGTTCCAACCCATAGCGACCCTGAACAGGGTTTCCGAGGCTGTAAATCTTTATGGGAGCAGAAAGCCTCATCTTTCTCCCACGGACTCAGAGCAGTAGTTACTATAAATACCAACAGAGAGGAAAAGAGTCTTCAAATCAAGTCTCAATGCTATCCACTCTGTACACAGGGTAGATAGGGACGGGCAACTTAAGACACTGGCTCTCTAAAATGAGGGGGCAATAAAGGCACGAAGTGACTGACTTACAAGGTTTTAAGAGGGAGCTTAGTTTAAGAGGGTGGGGGGAAAGAAAGAGTCCCCACTGAATAGCTGTCATCTTGTCTATATGGGTCTGGTGAAAGGAGATGGGGATAAGATTCATAAGATTCAACAGTGAATAACTGCTATCATGACTAATTGCGACTGTTATACTTGTAAAGGTAGAAGTTTTGTAACAAAAAAAGGGGAGTGGTTAATCTTACAGGCCAGAAACAGAGGGCCCTAGGACCATCAAGAGAGAAGTGCACAAGCAGAGTGCAGGACTTTATCCAGAGAAGCAGCAGTGCCAGAGATGGAGGCAGAGATGGGGGCATGGAGAGGGTCGTGGCTAAGGACTCTAGATTCATCAACTAAGAAGAGAAGAACTAAGAACTGGTGGCCAGGAGCAGACTTGCAGAATGTGCCCTTTGGAGATGTAAATTATTATATATGCCTGAAAAAATAAAATAAAATAAAAAAGCAGACATGTAAGAAAAGAGAGATGTCATTAAAATTTTTAAAAAATTACAGTCTAGGAAATCATATGGGGCCATTGCACTCTGTAACATGGATTCACTATGATTAGAAAACTGACCCAATAGCACCTAATTATCATTTTTAGGCCTAATTAAAGTTAGTGCTCATCATAGTTCTTCCACCACTCATCTGTCAGTTTTTTGTACTGTGGTGATTGCATGTTGCTGTGATCCCTGAAACTATGCCACCAGATTCTTAAATACCAGTTAGGTCACCTATGGTGGACAGGTTCCAGGTAAGCTTCCAGACTAGGACAGATTAGGAAGGAAAGACAGACTATTTCCAAATATTTACTCACTGAAAACCTTATGAATAGCAGCAAACACTGTCAGACAGGACCAGAATATTGAATGTTGAAACATAACGAAGAGCACCAGAATACTGTCAGATATAGTGGCGGAAGCTGAGTCCCTTAGGTTGGAAGGTATTCAAAATATAACCGGGGAAGAGTTGCCTCCTCAAAGTAGAATTGACCATGATGATGTGGATGGAGTAGAGCCTCAGGACTTAATCTGTTGATGGGGCATAACTCAAAATGAAGAGAAACAGCTGTAAACATCCATTAATAATTGGAACATGAATGTATGAGGTATGAATTTAGGAAATAAGGGAACTGTCAAAAATGAAATGAAATGATTAAACATCAACATCCTAGGCATTATGTTGGGAATCACAAATTGAAGAGGAATAGGTGTCACATTCATCATCAAAAAGAATATATCAAGAGCAGTCATGAGGTACTTCGCTGTCTGTGATAGGATATTATCCACAAGCCTACAAGGAAGACCAGTTAATACCACTATTATTCAAATATATGCACCAACCACTTAAGCCAGTGATGATGAAATTGAAGAATTCTATGAACTCCTTCAGTCTGAAATTGATTAAACATACAATCAAGATGTACTGATAATTACAGTTCATTGAAATGCAAAGGTTGGAAACAAAACGGAAGAATCAGTACTTGGTGACAGAAATGACGCTAGAGAGTGCATAATAGAATTTTGCAATATCAATGACTTCTTCATTGCAAATACCATTGTAAACAACATAAAATACGACTATACACATGCACGGCACCAGACAGATAAAGAGGAATCAAATTGACTACATCTGTGGAAAGAGATGGTGGAAAAGCTTCATATCATCAGCCAAAACAAGGCCAGGGGCAGACTACCTCTTGGTCTAAGTACAGCTCCATCAATTGCTCATATGCAAGTTCATGCTGAAGCGGAAGAAAATTAAAACAAGTGCACAATTGCCAAAATATGACTTTGAACATATTCCACTTAAATTTGGAGAACAGATTTGAGGACTAAGGTGCGCCTGAACCAAGCCATGGTATTTTTAATAACCTCATATGCATGTTAAAGTTGGACAGTGAATAAGGAAGACCATAGAAGAACTGATGCATCTGAGTTATGGTGTTGGAAGAGAGTATTAAAAGTACCATGAACTGCTAAAAGAACAAACCAATCTGTGTTGGAAGAAATACAGCTAGAATTCTCCTTGGAAGCCAGGATGGTCAGACTCAGTCTCTCATACTTTGGACATGTTGTCAGGAGGCAACAGTCCCTGGCGAAGGATACCATACTTGGTAAAGTGGAGGGTTGGAGACAGAGGAAAACCCCAACTAGATGGATTGGCACAGTAGCCAAAGCAATGGGCTTAAGCGTAGCAATGATTGTGAAGTTGGCACAGGACCAGGCAGTGTTGTGTTCTATTGTGAATAGGGTGGCTATGAGTTGATGCGGACTTGATGGCACTTAACAACTACTACTACTATGGTTCTCCTTGTAAACAGCTGGATTTTAGGACTCAGATACATAGCTTAACTCTCTAATGTACAACTCCACAATTTTTACATTAACACTTCATGTAGTATATAAGGATTGCTTCCATTTATTTGCAATACGGAAATCATCTTATTGCATTATTTTTTGAATGCCTTATTTAAGCAAGTTTATCAATGGTTCATTGATTCCTTTTTCTAAGAAGCACAATTAGCAAAATGTAGGAGGCTTAATATTGAAGTGCCCAACCTTTAAAGTCTGACTACAGAAATTTAACCATAAAAACAAACAAAAAAATAATCAAAGTAATTTCACCTCTTGTTTTTCTATTAATTCTTACACTTACTCAATGGGGAAAGTATCACTACCTGATCCAACATCTCAATGAATGGTTTGTAGGTTTGCAGGTTTCCAAAAACCACAAACAATACAAACATTTTTTTTTAAATATATGTGCAATCACTGATCTAACAACATCAATTACCTTCCTCTGCTTCCTATACTGGGATTAAAAGAATAGTTGACATGAAAAGGAAATGACAACTAAGCTTCTGTAAATACTTGTTTTAGATAAAACTTGCATTCTGAAAGTACTGCTTTTTCTCAAATCATAAAGTAGGCCTAAATGGCATTAATAAACCATGAAAGGAAATTGTGAGAACAAGGACATCTATAGGGCAGTTATATACTATTGAAACAATCACCCCACAAAACAACACTGATATTTATGGTCATTTTCTGCTAATACCTATGGAGTAAGAAGATATTCTTTTAGATGCTGCAAATAATTCACCACTCCTTGGGTAAAACCAACAAAATCCACCCAAAGTATAATGAGAAATTAAAATACCCTTTTTAGTTTTTCATTCTCTTCCATGAATTTTTTCGCAGCCACATTAGTACTTTCTGTTTGAGTTTGAACAGCTCCTTTGGTTGATAGTTCTTTTGCCAGTTGAGTAATGAGAGTAACCAGACGTCTCAACACTCTAGGAAAAAAACAACAGAACAAAAAACTCAGAATAATGTATAACTAATCATCAGGCACTGCTATTTTGAAACAGTCATTTTCTTTTAAGTTTTTATTGTGAACCTAATGATAGTTTACATGGGAGAACATCGACAACAACATCGTTTCATTGCAATGATTACAATCTCCTCCACGTATCATCATTCAACAGTATTTGCTTCCACTCCTTGTGGGGTTTTTTTGAGGGGAGGGGTGGGTGAGATGTCCACAGAATCTCTCAGGATTATATAATAAACAACTGAAGGGGGCACATTCTGCAAGCTTGCCTCCTGGCCGCCAGCACCCAGTCCCTCTCTTTCCCTGAGTCTAGAGTCCTCAGCTGCTCCTTCTCTCCTTGCCCTCATCTCTGCCCCCATCTCTGGTGTCAATGCTTCTCTGGATAGGGCCCCAAACTCTGCTTGTGCTCCTCTCTTGATGGTCCTAGAGTCCTCTGTTTTTGGACTGTAAGATTAACTACTCCCTTGTTTTTGTTACAAAACTTCTACCTTTATAGTTGTGACAGTCGCAATTAGTCACGATAGCAATTTCTCACTATTGAATCATAAGAATCTTATCCCCATCTCTTTTCACCAGACATGCCTAGAGAAGATGAAAACTATTCAGTGGGGAATCTTTCTCTCCCACACACTCTTAAACTCCCTCTTGAAAACTTGTAAGCCAGTCACTTTGTGCCTTTATTGTTCCCTCATTTTAGGTAGCCAATGCCTAAGTTGCCCATTCCTATCTACCCTGTATACAGAGGGGATAGGATTGATACTCGATGTGAATATTCCTTCCCTCTCAGTTGGTATTTTGAGCTACTACATCCATAAATATAGGTCAAGTTCATCAAATTGTAGCAATTTACACTCTTTTCCTTTATATTAAAAAAAATGCTTTTTAGAAAATCTTCCTCTAGTCAAGTTCTGATTATCAAGCCATCCAGGCTAGGTCAAATGGGTACTATCTGCAAGTATGGACGTTCTTGTGCGTCTCCCCTCACTTTATATCAGCTGAATTCTTCACTCTCCCTTGTCCATGGGCTCAGGAGTCCCCAGGTCTCACCACACTTTGGACCAACCAGCCCTTTCTCTCTCTCATCTCCAGGTCAATGGGAATCTATGGAACATGGTTGAACTCAGCCCATTTCTTCACTGCTGCCTTTCCCTCTCTTTCACTCACCAGTAGACCAACATGGTTGCCAGCAAGCTTACATACCTGCTCATGTGTTCCCTTTGATGAAACAGTCATTTTCAAAGGGTTCCCATTTAGGTATGGGTATGGTTCTGATGGAACAAATGCTTTAAACTTTTTTAAAAAAAAACTCTAGTCTCTCAGTTAAAACAAGGTCATGCCTCATTCCTTTTGAATCTTTGTTAGAAGACTACCATTTGAAATTTAAATTCAGTGCTTAGTGATTTAATAATTTTCCTAAGAGAGGCTAGTAGGTCTTTTCCAGAGGGGAATTTCAGAAACATTAGGAGGGTGTGACCAGAGTAGAAAGAAAAAATTTCTTTGGCCCAGTTCAAAATTTGTTATTTAAAGAGTATATTAAATAAGGCAATTAAGCCTCAAAGCTGCCATTCACATATGCTTATATGTTACTTTCATTTTTCAGAAGGAATAATTAATATCTTTGGAGTCCTGCTGTGGAGCTATAGGATAAGCACTGGATTGCTAATCGGGAGGTGGATGTGCTCAAACCACTAGCCACTCCTTAGAAACCCTATACAGAGCTGCTTTAATTTTTCATTTAACAAATATTTACTCGGGGACTGTTAAGTGGTAAGTATTATTTTAGGTACTGGGAATACAACAGAAGAAGACAGCTCCTGTCCTCAAGAAGTTAAGATTGTAGCCTGGAAGTGAGAGTTAAAACAGTATTTAACTATAACTGTGAATGACACCAGAGTGAAAATATAGCGTACAACAGAACAGCTACCACTTTTGGGGGAGTAACAGTCATAGAAAGTGAAAGTCAGGGTTTGCTATGGTGATACCAGGAAACTAAGAGGCGTTATGGATTTAATTATGATTCCCCAAAATATCTTGTGTAAATCCTACCCTCTATGCCTGTGGACCACCACTTACCTGTCAGTTTGTCATACTGTAGTAGTGTGTGTGTTGCTGTGAAGCTGGGAGCTAAGCCACTAGTATTTTAAATATCAGCAGGGTACATCCATGGTGGACAGGTGTGAGCTGAGCTTCCACACTAAGACAGACTAGGAAGGAGAAGAGGCAGACTACTTCTGAATGTCTGGTGGTGGTTATGTGCCTTTAATGGAGTCTTTAATGGAGTCAGTTCCAACTTACAGCAACCCTGTACAGGGTTTCCGAGGCTATAAATCTTTATGGGAGCAGAAAGCGTCCTCTTTCTCCCGCAGAGTAACTGGTAGTTTTGAATTGCTGACCTTGTGGTTCACAGCCCAATTTGTAATCACTATGGTACCAATGCACCTGAATGTTTAGCTACTGAAAATCTTATGACTAGCAGTGGAACTTATGTTAGATTGCACCACAATACTGAATATTGAAACATGATGCACCAGAATACTGTAAGATACAGTGCCAGAAGATGAAGCCCTCATTTTGGAAGGCACTCAAAATATTACTGGGGGAAGAGTTGCCTCCTCAAATTACAGTTGACTGTGATGACATGAATGGAGTAAAGCTTGTGGAATCTTCATTTGCTGATGGGGTACAACTTAAAATGAGAAGAAACAGCTGTAAACATCCATTAATAACCAGAATGTATGAATTGGCGAACCTAAGAAAACTGGAAGTTGTTAAAAATGAAATGGAATGCATAAATATTGATATCATAGGCAACAGTGAGCTGAAATAGACTGGTATTAGCTGAAGCTGAAGAAAATCAAAACAAGTCCACGAGAGCCAAAATGTGACTTTGACCATACCCCACCTGCACCAGGGTTATAATCTTTCACCATAGTTATTCAATTTGTATGCTAAGCAAACAATGTGAAATGCTGGGTTATATGAAGAAGATCATGACATCAGGATTGGAGGAAGATTTATTAACAACCTGCAATATGCAGATGATACAATCTTTAAAGAAGTATGGCACACACTTTTTGTGATTTTAAACCCTCCATGTTCTAGCCTTTTAATTTTCTATGTCCAGCTCTTTCCACATTTCATTATAATATTTGACCTTGTCTTCTCAAACTGCCCTTTGAAATTTTCTGTTCAGCTATTTTACCTCCTTATTTCTTTCATTCAATGTAACATCTCTAGGCTGGAGAGCATGTTTCAAAGTAACTTCTGACATACATTTTGGTCTTTTCTTTTTTTGTGTCTTCTTAATGACCATTTGCTGACTTTCTGTATGATGCTCCTGATTTTACAACACTCCTGGTCTTAGGTCATTAGTCTTTAATGCATCGAATCTATTCTTGGGAAGATCTCTAAATTCAGGTGGGATATGTTAAAAGTCACATTGTGGTAAGGATTTTTGTTTTCTTTACATTGAGGTACAACCCATACTGAAGGCTGTGGTCTTTGATCTTCATCAATAAGTATTCTAAGTCCTCTTCATTTTCAGCAAGAAAGGTTGTATCATCTGTATATCACAGGTTGTTAATAAGTCTTCCTCCAATCCTGTTGTCATGTTCTTCTTCATATAACCCAGCAATTTACATTGTTTTTCTCAGCATACAAATTGAGTAAGTATGGTGAAAGAATATAACCCTGGCACACACCTTTCCTGATTTTAAATGATTTTAAATATCTCCTTGTTCTGTTCTCATGACTGCCTCTTGGTCTACATACAGGTTCTTCATGAACACAATAAAGTGTTCTGAATACTCATTCTCCTCAATGTGGTCCATAGTTTGTTATGATCTACACAATCGAAAGTCTTTGTGTAGTCAATAAAGCACAGGTAACCAATTTTCTGGTATCCTCTGCTTTTAGCCAAATCCATCTGACATCAGCAATGATATCCTTCATTCCATATCCTTATCTGAATCTGGCCTGAACCTCTGGCAGTTCCCTGTCGATGTACTATTATATATTGTAGCTGTTTTTTGAATTCTCCACAGTGAGTGACCCTACTGGTATTAAAAATACTGGTGGCATAATTTCTAGCATCACAGCAACACTCCAGCCACAGTATTACAAACTGACAGATGGATGGTGGAACCAAAGTTTAGGCTTTTTAGACAGAGAGAGTAAGAGAGAAACAGAAATCCTATTTTTAAATTGTGCTTCTATTTTTATTTGTACTTACAGCCAAAAAAATAATGAAAATCCAGAAATGTAAAGATTTCTTTGAGACCTAAAAAGTTTCATCTGTGTATGTTCATAGGAGCTAGGTCTACCAGTACTGGCTGAGCTCTTCTCAATGCTATGAGCAGAGGAGTATTTTCTTATTTCTCTCACAGCATCTATTAAAAAAAGAGAGGGAAAATATTACTTTTTAATGTTTAATACAAAATTATTCTTATAAAAATAGAAAGTAATAAAAGCTCATGAGTGGCCATCTAAGATGCAACTATTGGTCTCTCCTTGTCCAAAGGAAAGGAGAGAGATGAATATTGATGATATTTGGAAACAATTAGTCCAATGGACTAATGGACATGTGAATATAGCTCCTGAGACCAGAAAAACTAGATGGTACCTGGCTACCACAAAGAACTGCTTTGTAAGAAATCACATTACAAGGTTCTGGATGGAGCTGGAGAAAATTGGAACAAAACTCAAACTCATAAAAAAAAGACAAGGATTACTAGTCAGATAGAGACTGGTTGCTGTTGTTGTTGTTATGTGCCGTGGAGTTGGTTTCGACTCATAGCGACCCTGTACAGGGTTTCCGAGGCTGTAAATATTTATGGGAGCAGAAAGCCTCCTCTTTCTCCAGTAGAACATCTGGTAGTTTTGAACTACTGTCCCAGAGGTTATCAGCCTGATTCGTAACTACTACACTACCTGACCATAAAATTATTGCCATTGATCACCCCTCAGGCCTGGAACTGAACTCACCCCTGTGGCTCAATTTTCAGCCAATTAATACATAGGAGTCCTGGTGTGGTGCTGTGGGTTAATGTGCTGGATGGACTACAAAGTCTATTTGAGCCACAAGGTTGGCGATTCAAGCTCACCAACCACTCCTTAGGAATCCTATATAGGGTTGCTAAGGGTTGGAACCGACTCGACAGCACTTAACAACAGCAACAATACATAGGAATATAGGGGGTGCAACACCACTTGTAAGGTACATATATCACAGAATGGTCAACCACTGGAGGCCAAATAGGCAGCATTTATTTAAGAACAAAATTCAGAAAGGTTGGGAAAGAAAGAGGAATGGAAACAAGAAACACAGGGCAAAAAGTGGGATATGTGAAGCTACATGAAGGGAATTGGAAACACTGAGAAGAAACAAAGTATAATTCTCTGAATGAAAAACTAGTGATCTGATTTGTAAATCTTTAAGTCAATTCACAATAAAGAGTTTTTAAAAAAGGATTAAAAAATACTGTATAGCTACAGTAATCAAAATAGCCCGGAATTGGTATCACCATAGATACACACACCAGTGGAATAGAACTGGGAGCCCAGAAATACATCCATACATCTATGTTGTTGTCGTGTGCCACAGAGTCAGTTTTGACTCATAGTGATCCTCTGTATACGGTTTCCGAGATGGTGAATATTTATGGGAGTAGAAAGCCACATCTTTCTCCCATAGCAGGGCTGGTGGATTAAAACTGCTGACCTTGAGGTTAGCAGTCCAATGTGCAATCCATGATCAATGGAATTTTGACAAGGGTGCTAAATTCACCTGATGGGGAAAGAAGAATCTCTTCTATAAATGATGGTTGGAAATTTGGAATAAAACAATGAAGCAGGACCCTTGTCTTCTACCATACAAAAACCAAACAAACAAACAATTTAAAGTGGATTAAGGACATAAATGTCAAAACTAAAGCCATAGAAGTCCTACAAGTAGGGGCAAAGCTGTCAAAACCAGCTTTAAACAATGGATCATCTAATAACAAACGTACAAGTAACAAAAGACAAAATAAAGAAATGGGACCTCACAAAAATTTTGTTTCAAAGGTTTTACAAAAAAAGTGAAAAAAGGAGCTACCAACTGGGTGAGTGTCTTCAGAAGGTGCGTATTTGATGATAATGTGAGAAATATATATTTGGTATAAATATATACATATATGTGCATGTATATACATATATATGCGCGTGTATATATATAATATATATAAAACTTTGACAACTTAACAACAAAAAGACAAAGAACTCAATCAAAAATATGGGCAAATGACTTGAAAAGACATTTCACCAAAGAAAGACATTTAAATGGCCACCAAATACATAAAAAGATGCTCAGTGTCATTATTTATCAGGGAGATACAAATAAAAACCACATTAAGATACCAGTGGAGTCCTGGTGTGGCTAATGCGCTGTGGGCTAATGTGCTGGACTGGAGTCAGTTTGAACCACAATGTTGGCGGTTCAAGCTCACCAGCTGCTCCTTGGAAACGCTATTAATAGGGTTGCAATGGGTCGCAACTGACTCGATGGCACTTAAAAATACTTCCACTGTAGGATAAGCAGTGGACTGCTATCTGCAAGGTTAGTGGTTCAAACCCACTAGCTGCTCTTCGGAAACCCTATACAGGGTTTTGATGAGTCAAAAACATGACAGTATTTAATAACAACAAAGGATGGCTAAGATTAAAAAAATAATAATAAAACAAACAGAAAATAACAACTGTTGGCAAGAATGTGTGGAAATTGGATCCTTATACATTGCTAGAAGGGTCCCTGGTGGTGCTGTAGGATAAGCACTAGACTGCTATCTGCAAGGCTGTCAGTTTAAACCCACCAGCTACTCTGAGAGATAAAGATGAGACTTTCTAATCGAGTAAAGATTTACAGCACTGGAAACCCTACATAGGGTCGATACAAGTTGGAATCAACCTGATGGCAGTGGGGGATTCGTTGTTGGTGGGAATGCAAAATGGTATAGCTACTGTGGAAAACAGTGTGACAGTTCTTCAAAAACCTAAAAACAGAACTACCATATGACCAACAATTCTACTCCTAGGTATATACCCCAAAAAACTTGAAAGCAGAGATTCAAAAAGTGACTTGTATACTAGTGTTCACTGCAGCACTATTCAAAAGGTAATCAGCACTATTCAAAATACTAGCCAAAAGGTAGAAACAACTTAAATGCCCATCAATACATGAATGTATAAACAAAATGTGTAATACTACTCAGTCAGTACGAGAAATGAAATCTTGACATATGCTATAGTTTAGCTGCTACAGCATGCTGAATAAAATAAAGACAATCACACAAAATAACAAGTATCGTATGACCTCACTTAATATAAAAAGTTAAGAACAGGCAAATGTATGGTGACCAGTATATTAGTGGTTACCAGGGGCTTCAGGAAACGGGGAAGGGCGGCTAATGGTGATAAAATACTGCACTGATTAAGAGCATGGTTACACAGCTGATTGCTGCCAATAAGTTATATATGTGTAAAAAGCCGAACTGGCAAAAGCTATTATGATAGATACATTTACAACAATTAACAAAATATAAAAACAGGAAAAGTAGCTGAGGTTGTTTATGTACAACCTCATGGGATCTGGTTCCTTAGTTTGGAGATTTAGGGTTATGGTTTCATGACACATCCCAGTTAAATGGCCTATTAAAATGTTTAGTGCTTCTGTTGTACCTCTTAGTTCACCGTGTAGTGCCTACAGTCTTAAAAGCTTGCAAAGGCCATTGTGGTAGCTAAGGTTTTGTGTCAACTTGACTAGACTAGGGTTCCAGGAATCTGGCAGTTTAGATGTAGTTATCTCCATAATGAGATCTAATATGATACAATTAGTTTTATGATGAGGTCAGCTATGAGCAGCCAATCAAAGGAAAGGAAGTTTCCTCAGGGATATTGTCTACTTGCAATATATTGGACACTCAGTTAAACTTGCTTGCTCTCTGCTGGATCTGGATCTTGCATCTAGCTAGTCTTCCAATCTCTGGTTCTTTGGACTTGAGCCAGTGGCTTACTCTTATTACCTGGTGATCCAGGAGTCATCACCGGCCTGCCTTTGTACCTGTCAGACCTGCCTGCTGCCTGCTTGCCTGCCTTCAGACCTGTTGATCTTGATTTATCAAGCCTTCAGTCTGATATATGACGCATGGACTTGGGACTTGCCTATCTCTACAACAGTGTGGACCATTTCCTTGATATAAATCTCTCTTTATAGACAAGATTCACTGGTTTTGCTTCTTTAGACAACCCAGACTAAGACAGTTATCCAAGGCACAACAAGTGGTCTGTATTCATTCACAATAAGTGGAGCAACAGAGGAAAATGAGAATGAGGGAAAAAAAGGCAGATCTGGATTGATAGAGTGGATGCAACATTCCAAGTTTCACTTAGGAATGATGATAAGGATGGCATAGGGCTCTGGAGTATTTTGTTGCCACCCAACAATAACAACATGGAACGTGTGGCTAATTGTCTCCATGAACAACTAACTGCCTCCTATGCTATGAGACCAGAACTGGATGTTGTCCAGCTACCTACCATTACTGATCATTTAAAACCACAGATTCCATATAAGAATCATGATGTTGTTGTTGTGTGCCATGGAGTCCGTTCCGACTCATAGCGATCCTGCACAGGGTTTCCGAGGCTGTAAATCTTTACAGAGCAGAAAGCCTCCTCTCTCTCCCGCGGAACAGCTGGTAGTTTTGAACTGATAACCTTGAGGTTAGCAGCCCAATTCGTAACCACTACGCTACCAGAGCCCCTTAAGAATCATGATTAAAAGGGCAAAAATACAGAACAGAATTTCAAATTTTCATGGACTCTTGACTATAATCCTGGCACATCCCTTGCTAATTTTAAAACATTCAGTGTTTCCTTGTTCTGTTCGAACAACTGCCATTTAGTCTAAGTACAGGTTCCGCATAAGCACAATTAAGTGTTCTGGAATACTCATTCTCTGCAATGCTGTCTCGTATTCTCTGCTTTCAGCCAAGATCCATCTGATGTCACCAATTATATTCCTTGTTCCATGTCCTTGTCTGAGACTGGCTGTTCTCTGCCAATGTACTGTTGTAGCTGATTTTGAATTATCTCTAGCAAATTTTTACTTGTATGTGCTATTAATGATATTGTCCAGTGATTCCTGCATTCTGTTGGATCACCTCTCTTTGAAATGGGCACCACTATGGATATCTTCCAATCAATTGACCAAATAGCTATCTTCCAAATTTCTTGGCATAGATGAGTGCCTCCAGTGCCCCATCAGTTTCTTGAAAGATTTCAATTTGTATTTGATTAATTCCCAGAGTCTTGTTTGTTGCCAATGCCTTTAGTGTATCTTGGACTTCTTCCT